CTTGTTCAAAGGTTGTCCACCAACCTATTACCTGTTTTTTTTTTTAAATTGTATTTAAATTTTTAGCTTTCTTTTTTATTAATTATTTAATAATTTGAATCTTATATATATATATATATATATATATATATATATATATATATATATATATATATATGAGACAGGATCATTTGACACCAGTGTCAAATTTAAAGTTTGACACCTCATCTAAGAACCGTTAGATCAAAAAAGATCAACGACTCTGATTTGTAAACATGTGACACCATTGATCTTTTTTGATCTAACGGCTCTTAAATGAGGTGTCAAACTTTAAATTTGACACCGGTGTCAAAGGATCCTGCCTCTATATATATATATATATATGTATGTGTATGTATGTATGTATGTCATGATCATTTTATACCTGTATAAATTACACTCTCAATCTTGATTGTTAATTTTATTTATATCTAACGGCTCTGATTAATTAAACATGCGAGTTATTAAATACAAGTAAATCAATTATCAAGATTTCGTGTAAGACTTCTTATTCTTATACTGACGTAAAGAATATCATGCCCTTATATATATATATATATATATATATATATATATATATATATATATATATATATAAGATAGGATCCTTTGACACCTCATCTCAGAACCGTTAGATAAAAAAAAATCAATGACTCTGATTTGCAAGCATGTGACACCATTGATTTTTTTATCTAACGGTTCTGAGACGAGGTGTCAAAATTGAAATTTGACACCGGTGTCAAAGGATCCCTATATATATATATATATATATATATATATATATATATGAGGCAGGATCCTTTGACACCGGTGTCAAAGGAAAAGTTTGACACCTCATCTGAGAGCCGTTAGATTAAAAAAAATCAATGGTGTCACATGCTTACAAATCAGAATCGTTGATTTTTTTTAATCTAACGGCTCACAGATGAGGTGTCAAACTTTTTTTTTTACACCGGTGTCAAATGATGCTGTCTCTATATATATATATATATATATATATATATATATATATATATATATATATGGGTTAAGATCATTTTACACCAGTGTAAGTTACACTCTTAATCTTGTTCGTTGATCCCACTTATATCTAAGGGCTTTAATTTTGTAATAATGTGAGCATTTGGATACAAGTGGATCAATGATTAAGATTGAGTGTAAGACTTCTAACTCTTACACCGGTGTAAGAATATCCTACCCCTATATATATATATATATAATTACAAATCTTTTGTTTACAAACTCAACTATGTATTCATGGGAATAGACTCGGCTACGAATGTATTTTTGAGAATACATGGTAAGAGTTTATAAAGCAAAAAGTTTGTAAATATAGCTTACCTCTCTCTCTATATATATATATATAAGAAAAATATTTCTCAAGCAGCTTGAGATATATTTATTTTCGTTCCAAAAATTACGTCGTTTTATTTATTTATTTTCTTATATTAATTGATTCAATGATTATGATTTCCTTTTTTTCTCTCTTCCTTTATTATCATTGATCCATCTTTGTACGGTTATGATTTAGTAACCAGAGATCAAATTATCTCAAGCAACTTGAGAAACAATAAGCCTATATATGGATTTTATACATCTCATATAATATGATTCTTCTAAATTTTCCTATACATCATTCGTTTTCCGTGCTAACATGGTTTTCACGCATGACTTTTTCTAACATATAGGTCTCACATGACTTTTGTTTCTATGGCATAAGAAGGCTCATCTCATATAACATAAGAAATATAAATCTTTATATATATATATATGAGGTAGGATCTTTTGACACCGGTGTCAAATTTCAATTTTGACACCTCATTTGAGAGCCGTTAGATCAAAAAAGATCAATGGTGTCACATGCTTGCAAATCATAGTCGTTGATCTTTTTTTATCTAACGGATCTCAGATGAGGTGTCAAAATTAAAATTTGGTACCGGTGTCAAATGATCCTACCTCTCTATATATATATACTGATTTTAATTATTTTTTCGGGACGAATTAAATTCCCTAATATGCTCACGACCTGAACAAAAGTACCCAGATTGATATGAAATTAATTTTGCTCGAGACGAATCAAATTCCCTAATATGCTCACGACCTGAACAAAAGTACCCAGATTGATATCAGATTAATTTTGAGTCGAGCAGTTTGCAAATATTGCGCACAATTCTTAATTCCAGCAAGTATGTGAGTTAAAAAAAAACTCCGTCAGAGTCGCAACCCAATGAGCCGGCTCTACTAGTGAGTCATACCAAAGCAACTTACAAATAAAAGAGTAAATATTTTTTTGAGTCTCTAACAAAAAAATATGATTCTCACTTTAGTCTTTTATAAAAAAGGATAGTTATCTGGTCCCTACGAAATTTATAGTGGACCCATTTTAGTCATTTTGAGGAACTAATACAGATCTTTTTTGAATTTGTTAGGGACCACGATTTCAACTAAATTGGTCCATTTTGAATTTCTTAGGGACCTCGAGACTAATTTTTTGTAAGAGACTAAAGTGGAGACCGTATTTTTTGTTAGGGACCCAAAATGATATTTACTCTTAAAAAGCTTTGTCATTTCAGTTTAAATTCATTTTTCACGACAACCCAAAATGCATTCTGATCTGGAATGATAATAAACACATGGCGCAAATTAAAAGCCTTCATCACTAAGTAAAGACTGCAGTCAATGAAGGCTACAACCTCATCTCTATCACAAAGCCTATCTCATCAAGCTCCCCAGTATTAAATGGTACAACTGTATTACTTTGGCATTAAGACAAAGCAAATTTGGTCATTAAGCAAAATCACCAAGCTGGTCATCTACCAAACTGCTCATTTCTCTGCTATAAAAACATATATGTTTTTTTTTTTGTATACACATAAAAACATATATGTTAACACAAAGATACACATCTTCTTCTACCAAATATGACTTGAGCGTCAGAGTGTCTTGTAGGTACACCTCCACCTTGTTCTATTGAAGACCCATGGGTTAAAGCTGTTCCAACTGTAAGATGCTCTGATCCAAGACAATTTCAGGTCATTTATGTAGAGAAAGATCGGATCATCAGTGCAATTATAAAACCGGTTCTTATCACATTCCAACATAAATTTTCTATGCTACATTTTGTATGCAGAATAATATTTGCATTCTATACTTGTGGTTCTTGGTGATTGTGTTTATGTTGGATATCAACCGAGTACTGTGTAGATTGCATTCTATACTTTATTCTATGAAGGTATTCTCATTTTTTTTCAAATAAATAGTGGTTATATTACATACTATATGGAATTAGTGAAATTTCATATTTTTTTAACATGCTTTTATTTATTTTATAGAATGACGTTTAATATTTTTCATTAAATTTATCCTTTTTATTTTTTATTTAATTTTCAACCTATTCCCTCAAGTCTTATAAATAATTTAAAATACTCATGTAAAATTCTAAATAATAAAAATTGCATAAACATGTGAAAGAATTGTAAAAACATAATAATATTATGAATTATAATCATTATTCAAAGTATCATACATAAAATACCACAAAAAATACACGAAGTAAATATTGCTATCTAAAATACTCTACACATTATATTTAAAAAAATAAATAAATTAAAAACAGTGTTTACACTTTTTGTTATTAATAAATAAAAAAATTAAATTCAAATACTATACAAGAAAAAATTATCTCTCTTTCTTTTTATCATGAAAGGTATTTGTCAACTTTGATTTTATTTTAATTAATTTCATGTACTAAACAATTAAATGGCTTGAAAAATCATTCCATTTTAAAAGTTACTAAATTTCATTCTAGATCATTGTATACTTGATTTTTATTCAGAGGAGTTATAATTATTTCGTATGCCAAAAGTAAATTTTACATATATTATTTTTCAAATAATATATATATTAGTTAATTTACCTATCAAAAAATCAGCATAATTAGCACACATGTTACATCAAAATGTTTTCTTTCAACCAACTTGCAAGAAATATCCTACTTCAGTACAAGAGTTGAGTTAACCTTGCGTGCTTGTCATTTCTACGTGGCTTATTATTCCCGTGATCCATCATTGAATTCAAGTGAAGAACATTCAATGCAAATTATGCAATGGGTTGAAGAAGATACCTTGTTTTTGGTGCACAAAATTAACTGACTGATAGCTCATTTTAGTAGTCATTCATTATTAATTATTAAACACCTAGTTCAAATCCTTGTGAATCACACTTGCACAAACTGCTATGGCAAATCAATCCTACGTGACTAGATACACGTGATATGATACGACACAATATTTTGATATGTTTTTTTTGGAAACAGATATTTCGATACGTTAATTCTAAAAAATGTTAGATTTCGACACGTTATAACACGTTTTGATATTAAATAATATTTTTAATATATGTAGTGTATATTATATTTAATATTCAATAATTTAACAAAAAAATGAAACTAAACTTATAATATTCATCAATTTTGCAAAGAAACATAAAATATCCCAAATATTTATATTAAACTCAATAAAATGGTAATCGTAATACAACAAATCTAATAGTTGGAACTAAAAAACTCAACACAACGTAACCTTTGAACTTTTTTTAAATTTCTATAACACGTGTTGGAATGTCGGACATAACACGTCAGTGTTTTTAAAATTTCGGTACTTTCATAGGATATAAGTAAGATATTGAAAATAGAAGCTCGTACCAAATTACTTAGGGATATCATTATCTCCTTCTACATGAGATAAGAATTTTTTCCTACACAAATTCGTTTTCCGTGCCAATTAATTTTTCTTTTCTTTTTTAATTTAAAATGTGGGACCCACATTTAACTTATCTCTACTTTTTTTCTCTCCTACTATCCTACAACATAAGAAAATATGCACCCAATTACTTATTATCAATTATTATTTTAATTTGGGGTTCCCATTAGGGACTGAGATTCAGATTTGATGGCCAGAATAATGAAACTTGAATATTTGGACTCATACAATTCCACTTGGTGCCACTACAATGGGGCTCCTAACAGTGTGTGCTCCACCATCTTCCATCCAAACAAGGTCCCCAAATGTGATATTTTCCTTCTTGTAATTGGTATACTTGATCATAACATAGTAACCCTGCTTCTCATTTTTATATCTGAATGTTAACCTCTCAGGTAACACTCTCACCACAGAGCCCTTGGGTTGTGTCACCTTGGCTCTATATGTAGCAGCACCATCTCCAACATTGGTCACAGTTCTCCTAAACTTGTGAACTGATGATCTTGTTTTGCTTCTGTAAAAAGCTATAAATGAAGGGTAGTTAAGATCAAAGGAAGGGTTTGCACAGTTATAGGAGGTTGATCTTGTAATGGTTAAGATTTGCTTCTTGGTGTACTTCAAAGCACAAAGGAGATTAACATAGTCCTGTGGGGTGGCATCATATACCAAACCTGGATCAAGTGCTCTATTAGGATCAATCTCACCAGCTCCCATAACAAGAGGGGAAGCATATTGAGAAGGGTATCCATTATCCCTAATTGGATTTTGGGTATTATCCAAAGGACTAGCTGTGGTTACAAGTGCAGACCTTATAGCAGCAGCACTCCAATTTGGGTGTGCAGCCTTCAGAAGAGCAGCAACACCAGAAGCATGAGGACAAGCCATGGATGTTCCAGACATGAAATTGTAGTCACTGGATAGGAACACATTTGTGCCAATTGTAGCAGCTTCTAAATTAGGAACATAAGCAGCAAGAACATTAGTACCAGGTGCCATTATGTCAGGCTTTAAGACACCAGGATAGGTAGGTGAAGGACCTCTTGAACTGTAACTAGCAGCAGCTGGTGCTGGCTTTGTTCCAATAAATGTTTGCTGAAATTTGATGCTGGCTGTGGGATTCTCATGGCTTTTTGCATACTTGATCACAGATTGTGCATCCTGTGTGCTGATTACAATACTTGGAGAGTAGACATCTGTGGTTTCAAATAATTCAGGATCATCAGAGATAAACACTGCTCCTATCACACTGGCTGTGGTGACAGAATCCATTTGGCTAAACACAGAATGTGACACTGAGTCACACAGAATGATCCCTTGTGTGGCCACTTTAGATAACAGCTTCACTGAGTTGCATGCTGATATAGTCTTATTGTAGACAAGTATAAGATTTTCAACTATGGCATTTGCTGGAAACAAGGTCCAACCTATAATGATTTGGCCATTTCCAAGAACCAAACTACCAAATGTACGATCTATGGTGCCTGCTGCCACTGTAAGGACCCAAGGGATTCCATTGTGCAATTTACCAAAATATGGACCTGAGTTTCCAGCAGAAGATGAAACCAACACCCCCTTCTCCATTGCTGCAAAAGAAGCTATTGCTATAGGGTCCTCATAAAGTGGAACATCATCAAAACCCATAGAGATGGAAATCACATCAACCCCATCAGAAATAGCTTGGTCCATCCCAGCCAATACATCAGAGGCTAAACGCCCCTCTTCCCAAACAACCTTGTACATTGCAAGCCTAGCTCTTGGTGCAATGCCTCTGGCTACCCCTTTAGCATAGCCAAAATAAGAGGCTCCATTAACATAGTTCCCTGCAATAGTGGATGATGTGTGAGTCCCATGTCCCAAATTGTCTCTAGCTGAGTTCATGCTGATTCCAACATTGGGATTTGCAGCAACAACACCCTTGTTGAAATATCTAGCTCCAATCAGCTTGAAGTTGCACATGGAGGTGTTAAATTCTTGCCCAGCCTCACATGTTCCTGTCCACTTTTTTGGCATTTTCTTGGTCATGCCATCATCTTTAAAGCTTTCACTCTCAGGCCACAAACCAGAGTCAATAACACCAACAATGACATCATCCCCAAAATTTGAAGCATGCCATAAACCACTGGAAGCATCTAGAGAAAGAAATTCAAAGGTGTGAGTGGTGTCAATGGTGGCAGTTCTGTCTTGATATGCTGCAACAAAGCCATGAGCATTCTTTAGAGTCTCCAACTCATCTGAAGATAGCACTGCACTAAAGCCATACATGGCATGATTATAGGTGTACACTAGTGCTTGTGATTGCTTGAATTGGTGATCAACTGTTGCTGATTTTATGGAATGAATGGTGGACTCAAACCAATCTTCATGTGTTGTGAAAACCTGAGGAAAGAGGGATTTGTCCATATGGACTATATATGTAGAACTCTCAGCATTGCTATGAAGAGCCAATAGAAACCAAAGAGAAATAAGAAACATGAATGGAAATGGAAACACCAAGTTAGGCTCCATTATTTGTTTATGCAATTAACAATGAAATTTTTTGGTCTTTGAACAAGTTGATCAGATGCATATATAGGAGTTCGGTCTATAGAGCATCTATGATGAATTGATGATGACATTTATAATCATTTACAAAATTCAGGATAATATTACTTGAAAAATAATTGGACAGAAATTTTTCTTGCATAAAAAGTGCTTTATTATAAGATGATAGACACTTGTTTTTTTTATTGACAAAACGTAATAAATCTCATGAAGACTTTTTCTACATGTATTGCACCAATCAGATACAATTGCTTTCCCAATGTATGTATGGACAAATAAAAAATAAATCATTATACAGACATAATTTTATTTAAATTTAGAATTTAATGGTTTAAGTTGATCAAATAAATTCAGATGGAACTAAGGGGGGCGTTACACACAATACTGTTGAATTGTGTATATATTCGGGATTTAATTACTCATACTTACTTAAATTGCCGAACAAATATTTTATTTTAATGCGGTAGGTATTTGTTGAAATTTGAAAAATAAAAAAATGTACGCACATTACATTCACAATAGAGAAACTGCTTATTTGGTAAAATGTCAAAATTTGTGTGTGTGTGTGTGTGTGTTGGAAGGTCTTGGCATTTTAGTTTCATGCATATTTAAGCTGTCAGCAGAAGCACCAATAAGCCAAATGATTCTTTGTTCAGTTCTTCTTATATGTAAATGTTTTAGGAGATTATCTTTCTGTATATATTCGTCTTAATTTGAGATAAATTTATAGGTGTAGATATTCAATCTATTTAAAATACGTGAATGAAATAAAATCCACTGGAATCTGAACCATGAACAAACCCACAAGTAACGTTGTTTTCTTTCGAGAAATAAAAAACAAATTGATGTAAAAAGCAATATAGAGTTATATAGGATAATGTTTGGCAAGATCCGTAAGTGCACAATTCATCTTCAAATAATAAAGTGATGAAAGTGACAAGGATTGCGTGGTTGTTAAATTATAGTAATTTTAATTATTTAAGTTAACTAAAATAATAAGAATTTTAAATAAGAAAGGTAATTAAAAATAATAAAAATATATGAATAAATAAAAACAATGTGAATCTGACTAATGATTAATATTTTAAGACTAGGATTTCACTATAACTATTGATTATGACAAAATTTATAAAATTAAATCATTTTCATATATCTATTATAGTCTATTACGTTAATCAAAATACATTTTAGTAATGTGATGTTTGACTCCTCAAAGGATTAAGTACTTAGCTAGTCTCTAAATCATAATCCTCAAGTTTAATTATTATAGGCTTCGATTAATGGATTTCATGTCTCAATCTCTTACTCAAATACCTTAGATCTATTCATATATAGAAAACCAAATTATCATACTCTCCTAGAAAAAAAATATTCCCATATGCATTAAAACACACATAAAATTCAAAGATACAAAGCAAAATTAAACAAGATTATATCATAGTAAATGAAAGAATAAATGAGATGGATCGAGTGTGTTGTAGGATTTCTTCAAGATGCAAACCGAAGATTCTTTTTACTTCTTTTAATCACAAACTTTCCTCCATGGTAGCTTTTCATGGACAAGAAGTCTCTTTATCTTTGGTTGTCTCTTCTTATTTATAGGTTAGATTTAGGTGTCTTTTTTTCTATTTAATTTGATTTCTAACTCCATGATTATTTTGTTTTTTGATAAAGATAAGGAACTGTTTAATTATATTCAAAAATTCTGAAATTTGGATAATTAAAATTTTTGGTTTTGACAAAGTTAAATTCTTTACAATTTTGTCTTTAATTCTTTTTTAAAAAATTTGTTCAAACGATTGTTGGAATAAACTTGAAAATTTAAATAAAACCATAAAATATATATTAAAAGTTTAAATAAGACTAACCAAAAGCAAATGAGATTAAATACAAACATTAAGAAATAAAGCATATATAAATGCATCACATCAGATGATATCCAACAACCATAGATATCCATATCGTTTGGTATAGGAAGCAAATACTAATAGTCGCACTCTTCTCATTGGCAGTATTAGCCTATTAATTAGCGGATACTATTAGATAAAGGATCGTTATCAGCCTTCCATTTCCAATGAGAAGAACCAAAGAAGCATCACAATTATAAGAAGATATGTTGATTGAGAGATCACGAATCAAGCCAAATTAATTAACATCATTAACAACTAATCTATTATTAGTCCCTACTTGCTAATTTCGCTTGTCATCATGTTACGTTAATTTGTAGACAAATGTTGCTAGGTTCTATTTTCTAATTAAGACTTACATAAACACTTTTTCCCGCAAAAATGTAAGGGCATTTATAGATGTGAAAAAATATTTCTGCAAATACTGCAGAAATTTTTATCTGTCATGATGCACACATAATATACTCTCTGAAGTACATAGGCAAAAAAATTTAAACGAATTCGGGAGTGGATCCTCTCATGTGAAAAAGTGGTCATGTGGTCATGTTTTTTTATCACAACCACTCATTCATGATGAGATAAGAAAGAGAAAAATACATGACCACATGACCACTTTTTCACATGAGAGGATCCACTCCCAACGAATTCTATTACAAGAGACTCATTCCTTTTCTAATGGGACCCACTGATTTATTTGCGAGAGTGACAGACAAACTTTTCTGCAGTAACAGCAGAAAAGTTAAACCCTTTATAGATATGAAAAATGTTTGTCATCTTAAAGAACACAACTTTTGTATCATTTTAAGTGAAATAATTATTTTTTTTCATATTTAGTGGTTTCTTAAATTTTCTCACCTCCACAATATTCTCTCTTAATTTTAAGGAAGAGAAAAAATAAAAAATCAAAAAATATACACCAAAACACATCCTTTCACTTAAGGACGGTCATTTCAATTAAAATGACACTAAATTATGTGACAAACTTTTTTTCATTTTTGGATACCCTTAGGGGTGGCAAAATGGGTACAACCCATTGGATTGGCCCGTTTAACCCATCATAAATGGCGGATTGGATTAAGATTCTCAACCCTTTACCCATTCCAACCCTCTCCACTTAAGGGTGGGTCAAAATAGATTCAACCAGCTTAGCCAATTTTATTTTATTTTTTTAACTTTCAAGTAGTATTTTATTTGTTACTTTAACCTTTTGTGATATCCAAAACTTGTAATTTAACATTTCCCTAGAAAAAATAAAAAAATAAAACACTTTATTTATGATAGAGGTTATTCATATATGGTGACAAAAATAAATTACCAAAGACTATATATCCAACCGAATATTAACATACATTTAGATTTGATGTTGAAATAAATTAAGGGAAATGTGAAATAAATTTAAATAATATCATAAAATTTATAGATTTTTTTTTTTTAATTTTTAAAACAAGCCAACCTACCATAAAACATGATGAATTGGTATTTTCAACCCATTTTCAAGAGACGGGCCAACTCAACCCGCCAGTTTTTTGTGGGTTGGTGGCGGGTCCCAATTTGTCAGCTCTACCCTCTTCCGATCATTATTTTAGTGAATTAAAGATGAGGATATGTTTTATTTTAGAAAAAAACTATTATCATGTTACGTGAGATTAGTGTTCCCTCTTATACACTATTCGATAATTGTGCAACTTTTTTCTTTTTTTTTCAGGTGATGAGGCTCACATGTTTATCTCTATGACATGAAATAACTTATCTTCTTTAATATGAGAATGTCATTTATTTTAATAGCCCATGTCATCTCAGATTCTAATTTTGCATGCAGTCGTGTAATTAGATCTCCAACAGAGATTTATTTTGGGAGGGGCGTAGGAGAGAGAAATTGAGGAGAGAGGAGAGAGTAGAAAAGAGGAATAGAAAAAATTTCATGTGGCACTCTCCTAATGAGAGAACCACCGTAGTGAGCATATTAAAAATTTTCCTCAAACTGAAAATGCTAAGGAACATTTAATTGACAGTTTCATTAACAAATCAAAATCCAAACAAACAAATAAATAAAATTAACCCCACAAAAGCTCGGAGCGTTAAATTATAATCTGAAAAGCTCTATGCAAGAAGTTTCTTATCCAAATTATCAAATTGCATCCACCAAAATATAAACAAACAAAATCGTCATCATCAAATTAATTGTACCTTAAATCAACCAAAAACTAGAAAAACAAACAAATTATTAAAAAAAAACAAAACACCAAACAAATCACAACTACAACAGAAAATGTGAGAAATGAACATTTGAAGCTTTCTAGAAACACAACGGCTAAGAAACTTCAATTAGATTAATTAATATCTAGATTCTGTTTATGTACAACTTCGATTAGCTTCAAGTTTGTTCAATGCCTTATATATCAAACACAACACTAATCTTCCTCATCAATTCCTTCACCCTGCGCCACAAAAATATAACTCCAAACCTTCCAACCTATAGTTTCAATACATCAACACCAAATTTTTTTACACCCTTCTCCTCACAATGTCCTCCCTCTCCTTCGGCACCGTCGCGGCCACCACCACCATTCCACCACCTAGCATAATGAACCCCATTTATGACCTTGACACATTCGCCAAGTTGTTACTCTTAATGATCGTTCTTAGTGTCTTCATCCGAGCATGTTACCTCTACATTACCATGAATCGCGAACAAGATCAAGACCTAAACCGTAACACATCAACACAGCATGATGACACCACCGACGGGCTCCCATTTAGAATCATAAACTCCTACCACACTTTCCTTTATAGCGAAACTAATGTCGCAACCATTCATAACGATCATGTTACATCATGTTGCATATGTATTTCGGATTATAAGGAGTCGGAGATGTTAAGGATGATGCCACAATGTTGCCACTACTTTCACCGAGATTGTGTTGATCGATGGTTGAAGGTTAATGGTTCGTGTCCTATTTGTAGGAACTCGCTATTGAAATCTAGTAATGGTCATCACTATGACGTAGAATGTGTCTAAATTCTAATTAAAAACCACACTAGGTGAATTAGGCAAAG